ATCGATTCTATTTCTTTCACATTAAGTACTGTACTAGTAAATATGTGAAATGACAAACTCACTTTGAAGGTTGGCTTTCATACACATCAGTATTAAGTTTAGATCAAAATTTACCTCAAGGTAACATCATCAAACATGACTCGATCAAACAGATTAGAGGAAAGAAGAGAAAAGATCGAACTAACAAAGAACTAATGAAGATGGTACAAAGGTGGGCGCCAAGATCCCTCTGGGATCTCTTGTTTTTTTATAACAGCATACATAATCACACGAGTACCTGTCCGTCCGACATACAGCTAGCCCGTTAAGGATCTTCATATTTTCCCGCCTTTTCACAAATCAAACACCTTGAACAGTGTTTAAATACACACAGAACATAGCCACGGTTTCGTAGCTTTTTATTTTACTCCTTATTTTTCAGTTTTCTTTCTTTAATCGTGACCAGTTTATTTTGTTATATTCATACACGTTATTTTTTTTTTCTTTTAACCGTTTGGTCTAAAGACGAGACAAAACATTTCAACTTTGTTCAATGAAGTGCGCATGTAAAAGCAGAAGTGACGTCAGATCGAATCTCCACGCGGTGGGAAGTGTTGCAATCCCTTTTGACATCCCAGTTTATTGTGAAAATATCGACACAGGGATACTAATGGCTACAGAAAACGGAGATAACGGAGCTCCTGACTCCTGGGATCAGGAAGTAGACAATCAAAACGAAAACGATCCAGGAAAAGATTTAGCTGAACCTATGTCATTCCTGAACGTCAATGCGGCACCATTCGTCCCAGGCCAAAATGTGTTTGCCACAGAGTTTGTGCCCGTCACAAAAAGTGCAGACGGTAATGACGATTGAAAAGATCAGTTGTGAATTCATTTATTAGATTATAACCGAATATTGTCACATTTGGTTTCAAATATGTTATAATTTTGTCGTACACAAATGTGTTTACATATGATTTGGGTGGGGTAAACACCCAGTTAGCGATTATAGATGTTTGACATATGGTCTGTATGTGAAGAAAAGGGTGTCTGGTTTGATCTAAAATTAACTGAACTAAACAACAGGACACAGTTGAAACTTTTTATATAAGGCAACGCGGATGAAGGAACCAAGTGGTACTTTGTAAGGTTATTATTTTTAAAAGAAACTACAGTTGTCTGTGAATTTATTTTGTTTTGAGGTATAACAACATTAGATCAATTAATCTTTTTCAAAGTCAGAAGAAAGTTGGCGAATTTATTAGGATATTTGATTACAGAACTGAAATAACCCCCAAAATACTCTTGTTCTAGTATTATGTGTATACCAATAATTTGTATAGCTAGAGTTGCACTGGCACGGTTACCATGTCGAATGATTGAAGCCAGGCTACCATATTGTTCCCTTTATATTTATAAGTTAGTGTTTGGGTACACCGATAATTAGCAAGGCTAGAGTTTCACTGGTGCGGTTACCATGCCGAATGAATATGCTACCCTCAGTTCTACCTTTGTTAGAGACTTTGATTGCAACGAAGCATAGTTGGAGGAATTTATAGCAGATACAAAACACCTGTCATTGCTTTTTAATATTTTATATCATATAGTCTATGTTGCGTTTTTATTTATTTTTCATTTGTCAAAAATGATGTGTAAGCCCGGGCTTTTTTGCTACATAGGTTGTAACAACCTATGAGTATTTGGGGGATCGCGGAGTCCAAAGCAATAAATATGTAATGAATCTTGCATGATATAGTTTCCCAGTTTTAAAGGGTGAATGAAACTATTCTGCTGGAAAAGACATATAACAAGAAAACACAAGAAAATATTGTGTGTTGCACTTTGGGCTAAATGATTATTCTTAAAATTCCACAATTTTTCAATCATTTAACTATATAACTAATTATATCACCACTGACCACCTATTCTAAACCATATCCATATTTAATCACAACAGTTCTTGAATGCTATCTCATAAATAGTTTAAATTTTTTGACTCCCTTATTTGTATTTAGCTAATGTAGTCTCCTGGCGTTGGCATTATTTATATGGAGTTTACTGAATCATATTTTCATACTTTAGGGGCCAAAAACAGCTTAACTGGACTTGGTTAAAGTTTTTGGGCAAGCTTGAGGTGAAAAGTTTTTGGGCAAGTTTTTTGGGCAGTGTTGGATTGACCACCATCAATTGGCTGTTGATTATTATAAGTTTTGAAATATTTATATGGAGTGTAAATAATGTGCTGAACTATATTTACATATTTTAGGGGCCAAAAACAGCTAAATGGGACTTGGTTAAAGTTTTTGGGCAAGCTTTATTAAAGTTAAAGTTTTTGGGCAAATTTTTTTTGGCAGTGTTGGATCACCACCATCAATTGGCTGTTGTCTATTAAAAGGTTGAAGCTTTATATGGAGTGTAGTGTGCTGAACTATATTTTCATACTTAATATATTGGCAACCTACAAATGTATATATAACACGTATATACAAAAGAGATGGAGAACCAACTTCCGCTCTTGGAATGTTCAGTGAAGTTCAACATACCCAAGTTGATGGATTTTTACGTAATTCACTAGTCCGGCATAAGAGTAATGAATTCCAAAGAAAAAATGACCAGACAATATTCAAATGAGGAGACTCGGCAACATGTAAATCAATTTAAGTTACTGAGTCTCCCCATTTCACGTTGTCTGGTCATCTCATCTTTTGAATGGTAGCTAGTATTATGGTACAACATGTAAAGGGCAGCAAAGCATTGTTATATTGCCACCATTTGTTCAAAGAAATGATGGCATTATAAAAGAGTTTGGAAATACATTGAGGGAAATGCATAAAGGAATTTTAAGGGGAAAAAAAGAATTAAGGGACCTTGAAATATGTTGGCAGTAATTATAAGCGAGGTGGCAATTGAAATAACGGGCATTATATCAAGGTTTTACTGTACATGTGTTTCTATTGATATTTGCTATCTTACATTTTTCGAAAACTGCTAAAAATACAGATAAAGGCCTTCTGCATGACAATTGTCAAAAGTTTCCTAAAACTTCACCATGTCTTTATGGTAGTACATGTAGTTATTTTATGTCTCCTACAGTCAATTACTTTTGTGCTGGAGATGTTTCCGTAAGGAAATCTAGGAGTAGTTACATTGATATAGGACTAGTAAATAATCTATTCAACTCGTCCTGGTGGAATAACAATAAAAAAAAGTTAGTGTCTAACCCTGAATAGCTATATATATATAACAGGACTTTAACCCTGAGTGTACAACCCTGAATAGCTATATATATATAACAGGACTTTGACCCTGAGTGTATAACCCTGAATAGCAGCAAGACTTTGTCCAGGGCTATTTTAGCCTTGGAGGTAGCATTGGAATATGTTGCTATTATTTCCTAAAATTTCCCAGTTTTGCAATCTGTCCACTTCGCGAAGTGGACAGATTGCAAAACTGGGAAATTTACCGATCAATTTGAAAAATGTTTTAGTTATTTGTTCTTTTGTGCTAAATGTATGAGTTGAAACACAACTTCAAGCTCGTTAACCTCATTTTCTGAAATAAATTCTTCATGGAAAGATATGCAATAGTGTTTGCAGAAAAGTCTTGATAATTTCCAACACCATATTATGACATTTAACCTTACGTTTTTCTTTGTGTAGATGACTCTCCACCAGATGGCACACCTACTGACGAGTCTGGTAATGCTGGTGGTACTGAGAACATGGAAACAGAGGAAGGGCAACCAGGTACAACTCCATCTTTTCATACATATTGTCGGGTTTGGCATTAACACATATCTCCTTGCAAAATGCTTTTAAGTTGTAAATTTTTAAAATATGCAAATGATGAAATATTCCTCACTTGCAAATTTCTGCAAGTAGATTTTTTGGCCATTCTGGAAAAATAACAATTTAGCTGAACTGTACTCTGTTGATCGACAGTGACTAGGTAGCTCAATTGGTCCTCGGTTTGAATCCCAGACTGGCATTTTTTCACTTCAATTACGAAATTGGTGCGTACAGTGACCAACCCTTGTTTCAAGTACAGTTGTGGCTCTAAATATTGAACCAAGCCAACATTGCATCAACTAGAAATGCCACCAATCATTGGCAACACAGTGAAGTAATTATGAAATCATCATGTTGAATTTGTACGACATATGTTACAGTGTTGATCAATAACATCATGTGATGATTTGATTGAATAGGGGATGACTGGGCCGACGAAGACGAGGACCCTGAAGAAGAAATGGTTGGAAAACCTATAATGAATATAAAGAAACCTGTGGATGGAACACCGGAGGTTGAAGTGAAGAAGGAACACGTCAATGTTGTTTTCATCGGCCACGTTGGTAGGTTATGTCAAGCGTGAAATTTTTGTAGAAGTGGATGTGATTCTGTTATTGCAATAGCAGCCCAATTAGATGTTAATTCCTCATTGGGCAAACAAAAAATATGTGTGTTTCTGGTATCCTGATCTTCCCAAGATTTTACTGCCCACCCTAGATATTTTATCACCTAAGTTTAGTATATTAGCCCGTCAAAGTTCACAGTATAAAATGTATACTTTCTTTCTGTTCTGGGAGTCTGACCCTATTGTTGACAAATAAATAGCCATAGTAATGTGTGGAAATGCATTTTAAAATTTGATATAAAGCACAATATGGTTATTCATGAAAATGGAAAATTAAAATTAAATTATTTGCCTACTAGACCGACTTACCATTTTTTTTTTCAGGCATGTTACCTGAACAGACACTTTTTTGGCCTTGGTATATATCAATGATGCATGAGTATATATTTATATCAGAGATTTTAATACAATAGTGGAAAGGACAATAAGCTTTGTCATTTCGTGTTTTCGGTCTGTCCGCTTGTTCACACTGGTTTTTGCAAAATAACGTACCTAAATATTATTCGATTTTTATGAAGCATGGTATAACCATGTGCAATATACAAAAAACTAAGTCCCAGTTAGAAGATGAGCAAAATATGTTAATATGGTAATTGGTGCATAATGAAATAGTATGCTGTGCCCGATTGACCAACATTGGTACTTAAGTTTTCTATCCCAATTTGTAATTATCGCTTCAGTCATTCACCTGATCAGTTGAAGGACATCTCGGGAAGTGCGTATGTTTGTATGTTGGGTTTTGATGATAGCTAAATAGATAATGGATATATGGGCCAATTCCCCTCTCCAATTTTGGCATTATTTTCCCCTGTTTCAGCTTTATTTTCCCCTTTTTCAGTTAAACATTCTGTCACTTGTAACTAAAATACGACCACATGAATATTTTTCGTGGTTATTTTGTTTTTATTTTCCGTCAGCTCCACGACTGAGTGATTTTTGCATTTTCCCTGTGTTCATGTTAATTGTCACTGCTGATATTTTGCGACACTGTTTACAGCTAGCCCTGTTTACGGTATGCAATATAATTACAGTCACACAAATGCATATCCGATGATCAATTCGAAGCATCTATAATGAACAGCCAGAAGCAAAAAATAAAAATGATCCGTGCCCCTGCCCCCTTTCTTGTACTCTCTCCCTGGCTCTGGCCTGCAGCTCTCGCTGGATTGGACACTGGTCATGCACCTGCAATGCATATTTCAAAAAGGCTACTTACTTTCTATTCCTGTGTTAATCTCTGGTGGTACTTATTACAGATTTCACTTTAATCTTAGGGCTAGAAATTAATTTTTAAATCCACTAGCCATTTTGGCTAGTAGTTTTCAATTATACCAGTCCATATGCAAATTCCGCTAACCTTATATTATTCAACATGATAAATATTATCAGATTTTGAGTTGTTAACCGGGCTAGTAGTTTTTGGAACCACTAGTTCAGCTGGAGATTTCACTAGTCTCAGACTAGCGGGCTACCCTTATTGTCTAGCCCTAAATCTGTTTTAGACTTGGATTTCATGAGGAAAATGCTATACCTATTTGTTTTACAAAGGATGCAATTAAAGGAAGAGTGCAAAAAATAAGCCGGGTTTTTCCAACAACAAAGAGAAAATAATATCCAAACCTCATATGGAATCTTTGATTTTCACAAAAATATCCTTACGTATCTTGTTATACAAAAGGTGTAATTGACAGTAAAAACAAATTTATAGGGATTTTTTCAACAACAAAGAGAAAATACTGTCCAAACCTAATATGGAAAGGCGACAAATGTTAACCTAAAATATTTGTGGGAAAAAAACCCTGGTTTAATGTGCTAAATGGTATCTTGTCTAAATTGATAATCATTGAAACTTGTTGGTATCAGTAGTGAGTGTGCATTAAACCTGCTCTGTAATCAATATTGATTTTTGTGTTGCAGATGCTGGGAAATCAACGATTGGTGGTCATATTATGTAAGTAATTTTCTCCATTCTATGAAATATTTACACAGATCTTTGAAATCCAATGGATCAGCTCTCAATACACATGTCTTCTCTTTACACTTGAAAATGTTATGTGAAATGCTGTTGGCAACAATATAAGAAATATTAAATAGAAGGGACAGTTGCAGTTTTTATTAGACTTTGGGGAAGCAACCAAATCAGATCTCTGATCTTCGATTGCAAATAAATTAGAAAAAACACAAAAATAACAAAATTGAGACAGTTTTCTGTGTACATGGGACAGCTCGTCTAAACGTATCTCGAAAAACACTTCCAACCCTGTGTGTGCACTCCTTAGAGCTTCAAGAATGTAATTTATTAGTTATATATATATATATTCATTAATGCATGAAATTCATCAAATTGAAACCCTTTTGTCTTGTCTACTTTTAATGGTTTTTGATTAAATTTAATATTATGTATTTGATTTTCAGGTATTTAACAGGTATGGTTGATAAAAGAACGTTGGAGAAATATGAAAGAGAAGCCAAAGAAAAAAACAGAGAAACATGGTACGTGCTTAATTTTATGGAGATGTCTTAGTTCCAATATGAATATAAATATACACTTTTAGTTTACAACAATTATGAAACACGGTATTTTAACTTATATTAATCACTCTTGTTGGCCCGGATGTTAGCGTGCGGGGGGCTTAGTGTGGGAGGAAACCGGAGTACCTGGAGAAAACCTACGTAGTCGGGCAGGTGAACCCATACCTTTTCGTCTAGCTTAAAGGCGAGTGCGCTTTCCACTGCGCCACACGACCACTCAAAAATATAGAACATGCAAACATTTGTGGATGTTTGTAGACACATTTTAACATCTACAAGTTAATTTATGGTTACATATAGGGAACGCTTCAGCAGGTGAATTTCGATGACCTTAGGATAACCTTCCTTCAGCGTGTCCTTGCTCAACGTCCCCATACTACTATACAGAGTGTGGACTTCATGTTGTACATGTTTATGGATGCAAATTCCTCTGTTATTTTGAGCATCCCTGTACCACTACTTTAGGTACCTAAAACTGTAACCAAGTATTGGATACCATACAGCAGTGTTCTGAGTGTAAAACTTGGTAGGGCTAGACCGGGATTCAAACCCTTGACTTTAAATTGTTATGCTATTGCTCTGACAAACTGAATTACCTGGTCGACGGAAATGTCCTGGCATGATTGTGCTACAGTTATATCCACCAAAGTTAAGGTTACTGTATATAAGAAAAACCACAGTGCAGTGGGAAAGTGATCCTTATTGTTGTTTTCCAAGGAAAGATAATGTGCTTATTTAATTCGTCATTGTGTTTTGTCTGTAGGTACCTCTCGTGGGCCCTGGATACAAATTCAGAGGAAAGAGAGAAAGGAAAAACAGTTGAGGTGGGGAGAGCATACTTTGAAACTGAAAGTAAACATTTCACAATTCTGGATGCCCCAGGCCACAAAAGCTTTGTACCCAACATGATTGGAGGAGCATCACAGGCTGATCTGGCTGTACTGGTAAGCACATGTCCATTGTTATTTGTCTGACTCAAGTCAAAAACATTTCAAAAGAATTTTTAGTATATTCAAAATCCTGAAGGAAACATATTAAATGTGCGCAGAATTCTTAAACTGTAAGTACTGCACCTGGGAATTTCTGTTGCTTGTCCACCAAATCATCTTTTTAAAAGCTCCTGACTGTATTTCCCTGCTACCAGCCAAGTATCAGCAGATTAGAAAGTCTGAAAGGTTGGCTGTGTGAAACTTGGTATACCAGGGCTTTTTCTAGCTATCCACAGTGTCCAATAAGCCAACCCAATTTTGAGCCTCAATCGAACCTAATTTGGAGCACCCCATTCCCCATTCCTTCATTACCTTAGGTCGTTTTAGTATTGCTTACTTGCATTGCATTATCTTTTAAAAAACCTTTGTGAAATATTAAAAAAGCTCAAACATTTTGGCTGACTTGATCAGGACAAATTAAAGTCATTTCATTTTTAATCCAATTGTAAATATTTACATTTGTAGGTGATATCAGCAAGACGAGGTGAATTCGAGACTGGATTTGAACGAGGGGGACAGACAAGGGAGCATGCTATGTTGGTTAAGACTGCCGGCGTAAAACACTTGGTTATAGTTATTAATAAGATGGACGACCCCACAGTTCTGTGGTCAGAAGAACGGTAAGGATTTAACAAAAACGATACCTGCATATGTTACCTGTAAGCAAAATTTCTTTGGAATATAACAGATATAAACAAGTTTAATCTGGGATGTAATACAAGAAACTGGTACTGAAGTTAGAAATGATTGAAGTTGGAATATTATTTCAAGGCAGCAATATTGAATTGAGACCATAGATCAATCTTAGGTGTAATACAGAGCCCAAGTGTTCAAGGTGAAACTAACACTTGTCAAACATGAATTTCATTCGTGAATAGTGAATATTTGATTTGATTTGGCGAAAACTTTCCAAATACATTGTTTGGAAAGAAGAAAATGAAACTTAAACAGACTTTAAATTGTTTCAACAGCATACATGCCATATCTAACAATTTTGGCGCGAGACTCACGAAAATTGTTTCAGAAAAAATCCTCAATTTCAATCGGTCTCGCGATAAGAAAAGAAATTTGGTCAATCTTAGGGAATAAACGATAGCTACATGGATTCACACTGACCTTGGTCACTGAGAGGTCTGAAGTCAAACGCCAGCCACTTAAATTACGGACCAGGCCAATTAGCAGCATAGGTGGGAAAGTTCTGAATGGCCTGGCCAGCCGATTTAGCCGGACAAGGCTTGGTGACTTGCTCACCGATGTGTGAACTGTCAAGCAATTAAATCAGTTTTCCCACAGCCAGTAGGGGCTAATTGCTAATTTATACGTGATGACAGTTGATATTAACATTAAACAGCAACATAAGAGCTGTTAATTCGTTACAATCGAAAACATGGTTTACCGAAACGGAAATGTTGGAGGTGACTATAAAATCGAAACCGGACACTGACATTGAATTCAGAATTTATTCTCTTGCCGTCGGGATGGGATTGAGTGTTAATGAAAATAACAAACAGAAGAAAACAAGTTTCTTCAGAATTGGGTATATAAAATTAGTAGTTATTGTTTTACTTTTTCCCCCAACAAATTAATATTGAATATTCCCAATGTTTTGAGATATATTTTTTCTAACCTGGGTTAACAAGTACATGGATCCCTCTATAATTTCTTCTTTCTTTAATTACTCTTATTTTTTGCCTTTCATGCTATATATTTACTTTTAAATGTTAACAGCTTTATCTTGGCCGTGGGTCACGTGTAAACCTACCTAAAATCCTTTAAAATATCAATTTATCTTTCAATTTTGTCTCTAACAAAGTAATTAGAGGCTTCAGAATATATAACATATAACATAGAACATATAATTTAATACTATGTTATATGCTATATAATTTATGTTTTAAATGTCTCATGAATTTCTCACGAATTCAGAGAAAAAAATCTCACTATTTTCGACCAAATCTCACTAAAAATAATCACTGATCTCACTATTTTGCACCGCAAAGTTATGGCATGTATGCAACAGTAAGATTTGCACCTAAATTTTAATACTTTGTTATGCTGTATACAGGAAAAAATTTGCTGCAGTTAAATTTTCCGCCTTTTATGCCAGCCGCAATAAAGGCAAATTTATCAATACAGCGAACATTAGCAAACGACATAATATGTATAGTGATTAAATGTTGAGGGGGAATTGAACTCTCGACAAATATGGATTATTCTAGTGAAGGGCGAGTACTTTACTGTTTGAAAATTTGCCAGTATACTGAACATGTATGTTTGAACAACACAAGTTGAGGTGTTTTCTTGTACAAGCTCATCGGGACTTTCTCTACACAGGTATAATGAGTGTAGGGAAAAACTGATTCCATACCTGAAGAAGTGCGGCTTCAATCCTAAAACAGACCTGTATTTCATGCCAGTATCGGGCCTCACCGGAGCTTTTCTCAAGTTTGTACCAGATGAAAGCGTCTGCCCGTGGTACAGGTAGGTTTATTTGATTGACAATTACTGGTACACAATACTGGTCACTGAAAAAAATAAATCGAACAAGACTGAATCATTTTGTAAAAGGGGGTATGAATTTTAACATGTAGTAGTTAGTTCTTAATGAAGACTAGGTGTTTGTTTTGTAAACACATAACATTTCATTTTGATTAAGCTACAATTTATTTCAAATTTGTAGAAGTGACAGTTTGCTTAGAGATTGAGATATTTCAATTTTAATTCCAGGGCTTTTCCTTTCTGTATACCAGGGCCTTGGTTCTGTGTCATTCTCTAGCATCAAGAACTAAACTTTTTTTCTCCCAATTAAAAACAACTGTAGCTAAATTTACATGTAATTTGGTTTTCAGAGGACCATCCCTTATTAATTATCTAGACGAATTGGAATCCCTAAACAGATCAACAGAAATGCCAGTCAGGATGCCTATTGTGGATAAATACAGAGTAAGTATCGACCAGGCTCTCAGACCTACTTCTCTTGATACAAAAATGTAAATACATTTGTATACTTGGGCCAAATAAAAAAAATCTTGTGTTTCCGCTACCTCTACCGTACCTACCCTAGAGTTTTGTACCTACCCTATTTTTTTTATTGGCATTAAGTGATATACACTGTTAAAGTTATAACTCCTGCTCTTTATGGTAAGCATAGTGAAAAAAAAATCTAAGATAAAAAAAAATATCTAACAAGGTACGTACTACCCTATTTTTTCTGAGGATGGTAGCGGAAACATAAGTAAATTTATTTTGCCTAACAGAAGGTAGTGACATTTTTATTTATGAAGACAAGTTATGCACTGTATACTAGGAAAATTTCTTTTAAGTTCAATTCGCCCTCCGTAATGGAGGCAAATTTATCATTACAGTGGACATAAGGGCGAAAGTAACACTGGGCTAAAATGATTTCATTGGCAAAGGACGAAAGTTTGACTGGGCAAACTTTTCTCGATATATAGCTTTTTTTTTTTTGCGAGGTGAATACCGTAATATTATAGATAAAATTGATAGAAAGTTTATACATCACCAAAGTTGATATTAAACTGATTTTCATCAAGAAACAAAGACCTTTTCTTTTATTGCTTTCCTATAGAATTGACATGATTTCCATATAACCTCAACTGCTCACTTAAACAATAGCTAACAACAATATGAAGAAGTGTGTTGATAATGTGACATCTACATTGTGCTGGGTACTGATGGAAGTCAAAAACATGATTTTTTTTCAATTTCTATTCAGGGGTGTACAATTTAATGTTTCATGCTCCACCTATAGAACCATAGTAACTGTTGAAAATGATCACTTTCCCTGTCAGACTAAAATTCACTATCCAAGGGTGTTTGTCTAGTTGTTCCTTGACATTCAGTAATTTCAGAATTCAGATCACATTTTTCCTGAAAATTTAGGAGTCAAAACAAATGTCAAATACCAGTATCCTTTCAAACTCAACAGTCGAAGTTGATTTTTGGGAGTCAAAAACATACTCTAAAGGGTATGCCGAAAAACCTGAGCTGAACCAGTGTAGACGTACACCCCTGATATTGTAAATAGTATTGAATGCTACTGAAGTTGGGCACGCTGATATTTCTCGCTTGGCATTGGTTCATCTGAAATTCTTATCATTTTGTTTTTTAGGACATGGGAACGCTTATACTTGGGAAATTGGAGGCTGGTGTTATAACCAAGAATATGACGTTAATGGTGATGCCAAATAGGGTGAGTACTATAGTACATACAATCGATAGATCCTGATCTATGTCAATGATGGATAAATACAGATGTATAGCCGTTTATTCTGGCATATTGTGAGCTGTACATAGGGTCCACCGCGATTCATTTAGAAAGTTATTTTGCCGAGAAAATCGTTTCAGCCAAGAACATTTGACCATTTTTGGCAACATTTAGTTAATATTAAAAAATTAGATGAGCCATTCTATGTTAACTCATTCACCCCTGAAATTTCATGATGAACTAATCCAACATTTTAATGGGAAGAGTTCAAATGTGTCTTCAGGGGTGAATGAGTTAGTTAAAAGAAAAACTAAAAATAGGAGGGTTTTATTTTAGTTCTGAGGGGTCCAAGGCCCCATGGCCCCCCTCCAGGATTGTCATTGATTTTGTGACACCTTTTGTTTTCTCCTTTTGGACTCCATGTCTGCTGCGATAGATCTTGATTGCATTTGATCCAGTCACCATCTGCATTACATAAGCAATCAGTTTAGATGTGAAGATTACCTTGAAAGGTTCAACAGCGTAATATTGAATTTGTCAATGGTCTTAAACTTTTTGCAGGCTACAATAAAAGTAAATCAACTGTTCTCGGATGAAATAGAAACGGAGTTGGCCAATCCAGGCGAAAATCTCAAAGTGAAGGTCCAAGGAGTGGAAGAAGAGGTGGGTTTACCTGTTTCATATACCTTTATCTATTAAGACAGTATCATAGCAAGAGGCCTCGTCATAAACCTATTCACCCCTGAACATTTCATAATTAACTATTCCAACTTTGAATTGGAAGTGTTCAAATGTGTCTTAAGGGGTGAATGACCAAGGTCTTGTGGTTGTGATGTTGCTTTTCGCTAATATTTTTGAAAGAATTGTTTTATGGACTTTATTAAAGGAAGAAGGGTTGACATGTTACCAGAAAAAATTATTGTTGATAAAAAAATGTGACTAGTGTGTTTGGTAGGGAATTCTGTCTCCCTAGAATATTTGTAAAATTATTCATTTAAACAATGCAGCAGGTGTCTTAAAGGAGAGAGTATAGGCTGTTGGTGTGCTGCAGGTTTTAGAGTAGACAAACTATAAGAAACAGATTGAAAATGTCCTGCATGCATGTGTAGCAGAACTGGTCTGTTACAAAATTGGCGAGCTTGCTAACCCTTGTTTCAAGCATTGGGAGTACGCTTAGCAATGGGATACCCAAACTTGGGTTGTAAATAGTTGTGTCTTTGGGGGCGATGACTTAGAAAAAGGAGGTAGGAATGTAGCGGAACTGGACTGGGTTGATTGTCGGTGACCAGGTAGCTCAATTGGTAGAGCATCCGTCTAGAGTTCAGAGGGTCCCTGGTTCGAACCCTGGTCTTGCCGCTACATTTTCTCTTTTTCCTGTTGCACATGCAAAAAAGCCATATACAAGTCCTGTTTTAATGCAAAATCAACTACCAATGACATTAATGTGGTTGGAGCGCACGACTGACGGCGTTCACGGCATTGGAATAATATTTTGTTTTTGGATGAGTCCTGATTCTATTTGACTTTTGGTGATGGGGTGCAGTGATGTTACACCAGCTCAACGAGACATAGTTGGAAATGCAGTGATCCCAGCTAATGGTGGCCATACATGCTACTAAGTGCATGGCTAACAAACATGACCCCCACCTGTCGTTAATGTCACAAAATATCACTTAGCTGGGAAAATTGTTTCAAGTCGATAATATTATTGGGTTTTCCGCAATGTTTATAGGAGTTATGTCCCTTCTCTGCTTTTGAATTTTGTCCAAATTACAGCAACTTCCCAAAACCATAGCTAGTTCTGTGCTTATAATTAATTTTGATTTCTTTATTTTTATTGCAGTTTATATACCCCTTTCAGATTTCTCATTTATACATGTTGTCAAAAACATATCCTGAACTATCCTTGCATGAAAATGAATGTAGCAGATTTTCTTCGGTGACAGAAGCATTTAGTTGGCTTAAGTTCTAATTAAGAATTATGGAGTGAATACAAAAAACCTTCAAAAGTGTTCCGGATAGATATCCAAAAAAAAAAATCCACAACATATAAGGATGCATATACAGTATGTATATTTTAATTTATTTGATCCACAGTGTAGTTTTATTAAAAAAAAGTCAGTACAAAAATAAAATAGTTTTGTTTGTTGTAGGATATATCGCCAGGCTTTGTGCTCTGTCCATTGGACGCGCCGTGTAACACAGGGAAGGTATTTGATGCTCAGGTAAGTAGCAGCAGTTGAGTGTTGTATTGTTAATCTAGGTTTTCTGTTACTCCTTCGTTACTCTCACACCTTAACTGAGACGTAATATGGTGCCTTCTTGTCAATCTCTCTCATAAGTGATTTTGTTTTCAACCCATCCGGGTCGGTGATCTGAAAAAGTTTTGAAAAAGGTGGTCCACTTGAAAAGAATAGGGGGTTGAATGTTCACATGCTATGATGTTGACCTTTATGTATTGCGGATGTTCGGGTGGTACAGTGGATAGCGCACTCGCCTTCCATCAAGGCCCCTGCACGCTGACATCCGAGCCAACAAGAGTGATTGATATAAGTTAAAATAACTTGTTGCATGTTAAATAAAGTTTATATTTATATGTATTCCGAGAAATAGCTGGTTCTGAGTTTATGTATAGCAGTCTACTTTTACCTGCAACTTTTCAGAGAACACTTTTGTATTCCTTACCAACTCCTTACCATTACTGCCTTCAGCAGGGCGTATTGTCACGTCAACTTGTCCCTCTGTCAGTAATATCATCCTTCTTCTACTGGAACTTCACTATTTCTTCTCTTTCTTTATCAAACATTTGTTAGAATGTAGAAGTTGGTAGGATGTCGAACACCAAATATTTCCGGTAATTCTATCAAAACTCTAATGATATGATCCAGGCTTATTGTAAGACCCTTAATTGTTGACAGTTTAAAAAAAACCCCGTGAAAACAATCAATCTTGGATCTCTTGTGCTCTTGATAATGAAACGTACATATATTATTATTAGCTATGTGACTTAATACGCCAATAAACACTGTTAATTCTGTTTCAGATTGTGATACTTGAACATAAATCAATCATATGTGCGGGATACAGTGCCGTGCTGCATATTCACACGTGTGCGGAGGAGGTGACGCTGCGCGCACTTCTGTGTATAATTGACAAAAAAACGGGCGATAAAACCCAAGTGAAACCCCGCTTTGTGAAACAGGACCAAATAGCCATTGCTCGTATTGAGGTGAACGGTGGAATGATCTGTTTGGAGACATTCAAGGACTTCCCACAGATGGGACGATTTACACTGCGCGATGAAGGTGAGCAGAGAATTCTGGGAACTTACCCAGCTGTCCTAATCGTATCACATGGTCACTTGTTTGAAATTCTTTTGCATTTGTTTTGAAGCGATGGAAAACTTGTTTCCATGTCCCATTCTGTTTAAAACAATGTAGTTCTGTTTTTCTAAAAAAAAAAATGACATGAAAATGAACAAAAATAATACAACATTTTTTTTTACGGAAAAATGAAAAAAGTTTGAAAAAAAAAATGAAAAGAATAAATTCATTAAATAGCAAGTGCAACATATTATATAAAGATATTAAATAGCAGACTGAGTGGTTGTAGTATTTGAGGAAACATTAAGAGCAGACTTATTTAGATTGCTTCTGAAGTATATTCTGATGATTTACTGTGTATGCATATTAAGGATCCTTGTACCGCTGCTGAAATCTTTCACTGTGTTGGAGACTGTCTTTGAAAGTAAATTTATTCAAAAAGATTGTTTTCTTGTTCGAATGAATTGGCATTAATTAGGATCACGAAAATGTTCTACAGTCAAAAAGTGTTACCTTCAAGCTGTTAGGGCCAATTTCTTCTTCTTTATTTTTTGAAAAATGAAGCTCAGTATGCATTTGTTGTATCTGCGGTAAAGATGCTTTTGGATGTGCTTTTTGACATACACACGGAATTATTAAAAAAAAAAATTAATGTTTATTTTTTTTTATTTTTTTCAGGGAAAACCATTGGAATAGGGAAAGTGCTAAAGATTATTGGTTAAGAAATACATTTGACGTGAAATAGTGTTGGGGGGAATACTCACCACTGGATGAAGAAACAGCGCTTGGTGAATTTCCTCCTACTCAATAGAAACAGTGCAAGGGTGAATCCAACTCGCTCAATGGAGAGTCAACACTGGCTGTATATATTAAAGGACTTGTGCATTTACGCTGACATTTTAGGATTTAAGACATGCAGAGCAGGTGCTGTTATCGTGCACCAAGAACCTGTTAAATAGATTTTGTTGATATCATGTCACCTTTCATCATTCAAATGTAATTGCAGGCATCTTTGGAGACGTTAAAGATGAGCCGAGTCAGTCTGTCGATCTGTCAACAAAAAATTTCTGTATGACACATATTAAAAAAAAACATGTTTTGTGACCGTTTTGGAAATTGAGGTTGTAAGTCATACTCTGTTTAAAAAGAATTTCTTTAAAAAAAAATGTTGAATGTGCCTTCGTCATAGTCAACATTCCTATCTCTCAGGAGTAGTCTTAAAATGACTGAAACTGGTTTGATGCATTCTTTGTCTATTTGAAAATCATTTCTTGATATCGGATAGAAAATGTTCTGTTTAAAAGTGATAATAAACAATATAAATATAATTCAGAAATATTTAAAAATAAAAAAACGCAATAACTACTTTATTTCAATGTCATAAGCTTTGTTTTCATTCATTTTCTATTCAGTGTTTTGGTAATATTATTTGTTTTAGTAGAAGTTTTCACAACAGCTGGACAGGGACAGGCTGACGGATTGAAAATCTTTTTTTTGGGAGTGATACAGTTGTCATGACTTGCCCACGCCAGCTTGGATTTTCTCCCGAAAAATATATTTTAACAGATGACTGAAGCATTTCAATATGATAGATTTAAAGTGTGCGTTCCTGCTGTGTGTGATCTTACCCCTACTTACCTTTACATGGAGTAAATTTTATGTTACTTTCACAGTCAAGGTAATTAGCCTAAGTGGAAATGATATCAGTTATATGGCACTATTTGAACTGTCGATGGAGGAGTGTATTTGTAAAAACCGTTGAACAAGTAAATCATTTACAAACAAAGAAATCCCAAGTAGTATTTAAATTATACATTGGATATCTTCACAAAAAGTTAAGTTGAATAAAATCGATTTTATTTTTGGATGTAAAATGACTTACTCGTTCACTTTTCCAAGTCATAGTATGCTAGTTAAAATTACTAACCTGAAGGATTTCTTCAGTAAATTTACGCAGGCCAGATTTTTTCCATGAAAAGTTGCAATTATTTGTAAAAATGAGAATTGTAAGAGAATTCCTGTGTAATTCCAGATCCAATACTTATATTTGAGGCGTAACAACTTCCCACAGATGTGATTTATCAGAGACGGGTTATTTGGTAGTGAACAGATTCTTAGAATATAGAGTGTTCATAAAATACATTCAGGGAATTATTTATTGGAAAATTACACTAGTAATGTGTAGTTTTCCGACTCTTATCTTCATTGGTCTTCTGTTATTTTTAAGGTCACTGAGTCTTCAACGAACACAAGAGATTAACCCTTTCACCACTATAGACCATAATGGACTCGTCCCCAAAAACGCATGGTAGAGTCTACTAAAATTACCTAGGGGTGAAAGGATTAAAAAGTAACCCATATAAAATCAATGGTACCTCTATGATGAAATGTGAAGCTCCTACATTGAGTTCTGGAAGCATTTCCAAAAACCTCTGCCTATATTTATTTTGCTATTAAGTTGATTGGTTAATTTATCGAAAAACCAGATTTTAGAATTACTAATCAAAATGAGCAGTAAAATTCAGTAAAGAAAGAATTTGAATTTCTATATCCGAGTCTCTTGGTTAATGGAGAAAGAGCCGCAGTATATTTTCGTTTTATTAGAAAAAAATTGATAGGTTGATCAGTTGAGTTGTATTGCTGGATAGCCACGGTCTGGATATGATCCCTCGTAAGCTAGGGAAACAATATCAGACAGTGTTAGGTATGTTGTTCACATCAGTAGGACCTACCTAGAGTGGAAAAATTGGTTTGTATAAGAGCATATGATACAGGCAAAACTAGATAATATAGGCTGTTATATAGCTTCTAAATGTGATATCTGTGGACCATCGGTTGTAATTGAGACACTGATAATCCAGTAACATCACTTTGGGATTAAGTAACGGCTAACAGGATTTGTTGCATTTGCCATTGCTTGATAAACCTGTTTGGAAATCAAAAAGTGTCAAAGCTATCAGGGTTTCTGTGTGTTTGAAGTCTTGAAGCCCTTCCTGCAGGAATCATTTTAAGTGCTGTTTAATGGGTGTGTTGCTACATGAAATTGTTAAAAGTTAAATTTTCTGTTGTATGTTTCTCTCTTCCCCTCCCCCTCCCCCTCCCCCCAATTATAATTTCTTTATCATTTAATCCCCATACTTTTTGTACATATATTTACTTTAAGTAGGTGAGAACACGATATCATTGCTTGGATCAGCGTGCGATGGTACAGATTATATGGATATGTGTGCGTGAGAGGAGAAATCAACTGTGACGGATGTTTGAAAGCTAGTAGTCTATGTGAGAGAGTAAATGAAAATTGTTGTTTCAGAAATGCAAAACATGTTCACAGGTGCTTACAATCGTGAGGTAAATTTCTTGTTTGCAGAATCCTTATCACAAAGTTACAATATAGCTTCTTCACACTGGTGTTGAGCCTGCGTTTGGCTTCAAATGTTTTCCATGAAGTTGTTAAAATTAATCGCATAGTAATGATGTATATAACTTTAACTTTTTAAATGTAGGTACAATTGTATGTTGTAGACATATTTTTTTCCTAATATATATATATTAGAAGGGATGGATTATATACTTGTCAAGTATTCAAAAAGATTTGGCCATATTAATACTCGTTTTCCTTTTAATTGTTGAACATTTCAGATACCATTTTTGTGCCACCATCCGTACAGGTTCGGTTGTAATAAGGTGGTCGCTGTGCAATTGCTGCAGATACACTCATTGTACAGTTAGGCTGACAAAGCTTTGAGTCAAATTCCCTTAATTTTGATAATTTGTGCTCTTTTACTCTTTTGTTTGAGAAATTATTAGCCTTTCCATATTTTATGCCCGCTACATTTGCGAAGAGAGCATTTAGTGTTTTGATTTTCCAGCGGTCAGCCCGTCCGTTCATGTGTGTGACATCTTGGTTAGAATTTGCGTTGGGCTAAATTTTCTCTGATGCTACAAGTCCCAAAGTCAACAATCTTAAAATGCAGGTGTATTCTAACAAGTATGACATCAGGTGATTTGTAGGTCACTGTGACCTATATTTTCCATTTCTACCAAAGCTAAAACGAGACATGTATGTTTTAAAATCATTTTTTCATTGGTCTTTAGTTGACCGTGTTAGACTGTTGATGGATATTTGTATTCATTTCATTTCTGGAAGGGAGAAAAATACCCTGGGTAAGCAAAAATTCTATACTTTATTTGACGTCTGAGGTCTCGTGAGGAAATATGTTGTTTTTGGACTGGATACACAACAGTGAAAGGCCTTTCTAATACAATGTACTTGTAACAGGGTTCCGCTTCATTTCATGTTTCTCTCTGACAAATGATAAGTGTTATTATTATAAAGCAGTACTGTTTAGAAAGTTGTTAAAATCTCTTCAAAACGATTGCTCAACTGGTGTTTCATTTAACAGTTAAAACAGTACAGCAAAACCTCGTTATGCTGCCAACATTTGTCCAGAGCTGTTTTGGCATTATAAAGGGGTTTGGTGATGCATCAGCTCATTCACCCCTGAGGACACATTTGAAACCTTCCAATTCAAAGGTTGGAATTGTTCATTATGAAATTTCAGGTGTGAATGATTTAAGGGAAATACACAAAGGAGTTCATAAGAAAGCAGGAAAACGGGACATTGAAATATGTTGGCAGTAAACGAGGTGGCAAATGAAACGAGTGGTATTATAGCGAGGTTTCACTGTAAAGCTTTAAAATCAGCTTTTTGAGTGTGAATACAAAATGTGTGGTAGTATTTATGGGACGGTGATGGGCGTACAAATTTTGTTATGTACTTTCAAAAGCTTAGTTTTATCAGTTTAAAATGTATTGGATTATTTATGTCTTAAATGAAAACTGGATTAAAGAATGACAAATGATATACATCTAACAAGTAAAACACCATGTAACAGTTTCCTATATAATCTAAGGTCCAAGACGTTGAAGAAAAGTCTAGGAAAGGTCCTTTTTCATTGTGGATCCGATATATTTTTTTGAAATGTGTGGAATTTGCACAAAACATTTTCTGGTTTGAAAGTGCGTAGCATTGTAAATAAGAGCCAGTATTGTTGAAATTATTTGTTGACAGGACAAAGTTTGCAGAAATTGTCAATAGTGATTAATTAATGATGTATCTGAACTTTTCTGTAAATCTGACAAAAATATTCAGAGATTAAAGAATGAAGAATTGTTTCACTATATATATATATAGGTTTACATCAGTTATATATACATTACAAATCTCTGCACTTGCAAGCATAGCCACAAGCACCTGCTGAGATTTTCTATGTTAGAAACGAAAACATGTAATTAATTGTATGAAAATATCAACTTTAACAATTGTAATTAAATTATGACGTATGAAAATTTTGAACTTTACCAATTACACATGTCATCATTATTGATATCGTGCTCGTCACGCAGAATGTGAAATTTCATCAGGAATTCTTATGAAACCTTTAAACAGTAATTGTAGATCTTGATGAAGAAATCTTTTTAATTAAAACTGCAGGTACCATGAAATGTCTTGACATTTGTTTTATTTCTCAGTGTTTTCAAAGAATTCAGATTGTTTTTTACACCATACGAGTAGGAATTTGCAGAACAATTTCAAACTCTGTGCAAGTTATAACAAAAATTCATAACGACTGTACTAGATAACTGGAAATTTGAACTGTACTTTTCTGCTCACCTGGCCCAAAGGGTAATCTGTTCAGGGGATTTACCTCCCCTTAATATCAGTTCAGAACTAGGTTGATGATTTAAAAGAGATGAAAATGCAACGACACAGAAGTATGCTGACTTGGCTAGAGGGAATTCCCTTCAGCCAGAATTATAGAGTACTGGACTAGTTGTAATTTGGCCTGGATTCGATTTCAGATGCACTTCAAATAATAGAATCTATCACTCCTATTTGTGATGTGGACAGAGAAATCTCTGAACCAGAGTGTTGAATTTTTGAAGCTTAGTTTCTCGGGCTTTGACGAATGCTAAATTTAAAAAATCTTATGATTTCTGTCACATCACAACACAAAACCACCATAGTATAGTATATTTGTTCTTGCACACTTTCTTGTCACAAAAATAACATGCAATATTGAACCTATTTCACCCTGCCGCTATCAAGGGCACATGCAATGTGTGGCAATGTTGGACACTTCTACAAGAATGAGAAGAAGATTTACCTTTTCACTAGCTAAATTCGGAATTGTACCGTTTAAAGTGTGGTAGAAACACTGTGATCCCGGCTAATTTGGTGTCCATACATGTGAACAGTAATATCCTAAACCTTGTTCTCACACGCATCATTGCACTCGGGAAGACTTGAGAAAAAAATCTTTCAAGGAGAGGACATTTTCATAATGATGATCAACCATCTAGTTACTGGTTACTAACTCGGTTAGAGCAGAGTTTGTACAGACCTTGAAAAGGCCCTAAAAAAGAGGGTTGGCCTTGCAAGCCCAAAAACGAATAAAAAGGGGTTAAAAGTCCCTAAATTCAATGAGTCTTTTATTGACCAAATCATCTTCATGCAATAGTTGTATATTATTTTTGGTGGTTTTGTGTTGTAATTCTTTATCAAATTGAAAGAAGCAAAATACAGGAAAAAGAAATATCTGTTACGAGTTAATTTCCAGATTTTCTTGATACCAGCTAGTATCGGCTTTTAGTGTTTAGTGTTTCGGATGATAAGTTTTTGTCAAAGTTACACATCCGGGTCTCGGAGCATTAAAACAGCAACCCTTAGATTTGCATAAAAAACGCCTTGAATTTTATGGTAAATTTCCTCTACCAACCCTGTAGATGGAATTTCTTTTTAGCATTCCTAGTAATCTGTAGCCTAGGATTCAACCATCCTCGATACTCAAGAGGTGTGTATCACTTTGAGGGTGAGACAAGGAGGCTAGATTGATCCTTTGATGTACAGCAAAAGAATCTTGCGGTCTTGCAACGGTAAAATTGACTGGCTTTGACATCGGATGTCCCTCCTCTGTAATCTGCAAAGGACAGGTTTATCAGCCTAATGATTTGTCGCTTTTTTTACCTGAAACCAATCAAATAGCTTGCAGCGTGCATTTAATTTTGTTATGACGGATATATTTCATGGGCGGATTGGTTGAGAGGTTAACACTCGGGCCTCCCACCCAGGCGGCCGGGGTTCAATCCCCGAAGTCGTACACATGGATATTCAGAGAAAGTATTTTTCTCCTGCCCACACAACTCCAACAACCCAGGTGGAGTATAAATTGGTCATGGGTGGATGCTGTGGTATCTGTGCTGTAGCATTCAAGTGAGGTGGCACTATAAATGATGCTGTTGGAAGCACATTCCCACTGCAAACAGGACACATTACATCTCCAGCACACACAGGCATACACACATAGGGGTAGGGAGATATTAGCCAGGTGGCATAGGACTAGTAGTTAGCGCCTGATCATGATAAGGCAGCTCCTGCCAATTATATTGATTAATGTATATGCTAATTGTACTAATTGTATGTCTATGTACTGTTAAGCACTTTATAGAGTTTCTAATGTTAACTAGATAGGGTGCTATATCAAATGCTGTATATTAAATTGAATGCCATATTCCAGGGGTGCAGAGAGCGAAAGTGAGCATAACCCCTGGAGTATCAAGGATGGGATTCAACTGGTAGTAGAGAAACTTCAAAATCACTTGTAAGACATTTGTATGGAAATAAAGTCATCCTCTTGTGCATGTTTTCCCATCAGAAAATTTAGCCCTAAGGATCACTGTACCACTGCCAAAAATTGTATCTAAGTGTTGGAAACTGTTTAGCTTTTTACTAGCAGAACTTAACTTTGATAAAACATTTCTGGGGAAAAAACCCCATACCTTGCAGGACTTTTATCAGAAATAATAAAAGATGAAATTAACAAAATATAATCAACAACAGTGTTCTGATTGAGAAAAAAATAATTGGGTGGGGTTTGACCGGAATTGGAATTCTGGATTTCAGATTGATATAATATCGCTCAAACCAATTGCGCTACCCTGGTCAACAGAAGTATCCTGGCCCAATTGTACTACACATGGAAGTTAAGGGGAGGTTACTGTATATACGAAAAAAAACCAGACTACAGGCAGGGATCCTTAAAAGGTGATCTCATGAACGTAATGATGATGTCATATCCTGTATTACATCATCATTACCGACAACAAAATCCAAATCCTTAACACTGATGTGTAAACATTGGGTATATCATGGCAAAACTTATCAAAGCTTGTTTCTTCAAAATCAAATAGTGAAATCTTCGCTGAAATCTCAATCCCCTTATGTAATAACCTTATGACATAAGTTAAATGGCTATGATCTGGTTTCAAAATATTTTGTTTGATAAGTTAATAAGCCACAACCTATGACCTCTTCAAATTTATTCTTCCATTCATTTGCGAGATCCACTACAGACTATAAAGCCTTTTAAAGATCCAATGACTTTTTGACTCTTCCCTCTTTCCCCCCCCACCTCCAAACTCAATACATTTACTATTTAAATTTTTCTGATGTGAGCATGTCAAAAATGAAAATAAAAATTGTTGTATGGTTATAATTAAAATATAAACTTACTATTTTGTTATAAATAACAAAGGCAACATCTTTTTACTTTAATTTTTTTTGGGGGGTTTTATGAAAAGGATATTTATAGTCTAATGCGTTGGATCAAGAGCTATTGTCCATTTTCCTATTCATAGCAGAAAATAATTCTATTAACTAATATCCCATTGAATGAATATGTAAGAGAACCATTAAATCTAATTACTCAACTACAGTAAAACCTTGTTATACTGCCACAGTTTACCCAGAGACATTTTGACATTATAAAGGGGTTTGGCAATAAATTGAAGGAAATATATAAAGAATTTCTACTGAATAGAGGGCATTATATTGAGGTTTCACTGTATTTTCATTTTGAATAGTCAAGTATTTTTTTTATTTTCATTTTTAGCTAACCTGGCACAAGGTGCTAAGTGAGCTTATGCCGTGGTGCGGCATCCGGCGTCAATATTTTACTTTAAACAACTTCTTTTTAATAACCGAAAGGCCTAGGGTGTCGATATTTGGCCAGTAGCATGCTGGGGTAAAGAGCTATCAAGATTGTTCAAATGAATGACCTTCACCTATATTCAAGGTCACAGGGGTCAAATATGTGAAAAACATTCAACAACTTCTCCAAAATGCCCAGGGTAATGATATTTAGTCAGTAGCATACTAGGATCAAGGGCTACCAAGTTTGTTTAAATGTATGACCTTGAATCATATTCAAGGTCACAAGGAGCAAATATATTCAAAACCAAAAGGCTCAGGATGTTGATATTTAGTCAGTAGCATATGCTGGTATCAAGGACTACTATGTTTGTTAAAGTGAATGACTTTGACTTATATTCAAGGTCACAGGGGTCAAATTTGTTTAAAATCTTTAAACAACCTCTTATGAATAACCATGGGTCCCAGGATGTTTATACTTTGCAAGTTGCATCCTGAGATGAAAGACTATACAATGTGTTCAACATAATGACTTTGTTCGACTTTCAATCACAGGGGTGAAATGTTT